TAAGTGAGAATAACAGCACAATTGGAAGAGCGTAGTCGATGTCACTGAACTGTGCATGTAGAAATTTTTGAAATGGTGTATCTTTGGCTATGCATATTTTCACCAAAAAAAAAAAGGTCAAGAAGGGAGAGGGTTGACATGTTGTGGGGTTGTTAACCAATGTCATAAAACAATAAGTGTAATACTGTTTCATGAGAAACTATTTGTTCTGTAAGCCTTCACCTGAAGTACAATTAAAAAAAAAAACACAAATGTCCTGCATCCTACTCTGGTGAGTGGCGTCTGGGATCTTAAAAGCTAGCGAGCAACCATCTAAGACGCATCAATTGGTCCCAACCCACCTGGAGTAAAGGAGAAGGAAGAACACCAAAGACACAAGGGAAGTATTAGCCCAAGAGACAGAAAGGGCCACATAAACCAGAGACTTCATCAGCCTGAGATGAAAAGAAATAGATGGTGCCCAGCTACCACCAATAACCACCCTGATAGGGAACACAACAGAGAATTCCTGATGGAGCAGGAGAAAAGCAGGATGCAGAACTCAAATTCTAGTAAGAAGACCAGGCTTAATGGTCTGACTGAGACTGGAGGAACCCCAGAAAGCATGGACCTCAGACTCTCTGTTAACCCAGAACTAAAACAATTCCCAAGGCCAACTCTTCAGACAAAGATTAGACTGGATTATGGGACATAAAATGATACTCATGAAGAGTGTGCTTCTAAGCTCAAGTAGATACATGAGACTAAATAGGCGGATATGTGAGACTAAATGGAGGTGAAATGAGAAGGCATAGAGGGGCAGGAGCTGGTTGAATGGACACGGGAAATCAGGGGTGTAAAGGATGAGTGTGCTGTCACAGTATAGGGAGAGCAATTAGGGTCACGTAACAATGTATGTATTAATTTTTGTATGAGAGACTAAGTTGAATTGTAAGCTTTCACTTAAAGTACAATAGAAATAAATAAATAAAATATATAAAATAAATAAATCTTACCTAGTAGCTCTGTGATTTTAACAAGTTATCTCTCTGTAACATTGTGGTAAAAGTATTTGTGGTGAGGATTAGACGAGAAAATCTATGCAAAGAAATTATCACTAGATTGGAAACAAATGTGCCATAAATAGGAGCTATTCTTGTTATTTCATTTATTAAGTGCTCAGTGCCAAGACCTGGGTTAGGTGCTGGGAATTCATAAGTGAATAAGGTACGGCCATTCCCTTGGGACACTTAACAGTCCTCAGTGTACGTGCTTAAGAAGGTCCGTTGTGAATTGGTTTAATCTTCCAGGAAATTGGATCTAGAAGAATATTATATGAGGCTTTCTCATCCAATTTTCTCCAACTGGCTCCCAAACCTGAGAAAAATGTCATTACATTTAAAACAATCCAATGGACATTTATTTTTAATTGCAAACAGCCTCTAAGATTTCTTTCAGTAATAAAATTTGAAGGTTCTAGTTGAGAAATGGAGTCCCTGGGTAGCAAAAACAATTAAGCAATCGACTACTAGGCGAAAGGTTGTCAGTTGGAACCCACCCAGAGGCATGTGAAAGACAAGCCTGGTTATCTGCTTCTGAAAGGTCACAGCCTTGAAAACCCTATGGAGCAGTATGAGAACAGATTTGAAGGCAACTAGCTACAACAGTTGAGAAATAGTGTCAAAACCATGCACCCATCCACAGCCTGAGTTTCTATAATCCCTTTTATGGTTATTGCGTCACCGCCTTGCACCATGTACTTTCAGTTTCCTGTTAACCGATTTCTTGGCAGACAAGGCTCTTTCGTTTTTATTTGTAGTCATCTGAGCTCACAAGAAATTCTGGAAAACCCCAGGAAGCTGGAAGGATACGATAAAAGCCCAAACTTCCAGTGAAAGAGAAAAGTGACAGAAAACCACTGGAGCTAAACTGAGAAAAACTGGAAAGAAGGCAAGCACTCTTAGAACTTTCTCTTCAAGGCAACTCTGTTTCCAGCTCTAAAGGGTCTCTGCTCTGGGTAATACTGGGGACAGGGTGGGGAGAAATTTGTAAGGGTCAGTTAGTTTTCTCTAACATGATCGCCCCTAAATTGTGCTGCTGCTGAGCTTGAGGTGGATCACCCGGCAGGTGGTGTGGCTGTTATGTGTCCACTGCTGTGCTCTGTGTTGCATTAGGCATCAGCAGAGATACGGCCTACACTGAGATCTGCAAATGTTTTAAGACTGTCATTTCTTTCTAGATATCTTTTTAAAATTACCTTGGTTTCTGACAGAACCTGCTTAATAAAGCTCAGATTCCATCTCTTCTTTTATTACCAAATTTTATAGCTCTAAGTAAATAGAAGTTAGGCCAGGTTGTATCTGCAAAAAAGAGGCAACATTTTATAATAACTTGAAAATTATTGTAATTTGGAAGCTTCTAAAATCTTTGTGCAGTTGCTTTTTCTGAGTCAGTCATTGATTGATTCCCATTTTATGGTAGTATGCCTCATGCTATAAAATCAAATAGACCCTCAGCTTTCCTGCAGTCCCTGTGGGCCATGGTTGAAATAGGAAGTGGGTCTTCATAATTAAAAAAAAAATTGCCATCTTCTAGTGGAGATAGGAAGCCCAGTTGGGGGGGAGGGGACAGTAGTGGCATTCTTTTGCATGCCAGCCCTCAGCGAAAGCACATCAGGTAGTTGTTGAATTTTTACTCACAGTAGTAATCAACTGTATATTGGAAGCAACCTGCTCTTTTTCGTAGGATAAACTCTGAGGTGCTTAAAGTCTGTATCTCAAAGAGCTAATAAATGTTATATCACGATCACTTCAGGTTAAATGGGTTGAGACACAAGATAAAAACACAAAGATAATGCATTACTAATGGAAGTGTTTTCACTCCTTTCTAAATCTATAAAATGATCAAAAATTTCAAATTGTCTTTACAGGAGAAGGTCTTTTCTCTCTCAGGGTCATTGGTGGGTTTAACTACCAACCTTTTAGTTGGCTGTCAGTGCTTAACCATTGTGCCACCAGATCTCTTCTCCATTAATTTAAGTCTTTAATTTTTTTCAGCCATGTTTTATACTTTTCAATGTAGAAGACTTAATTCTTTGATTAAATTTATTTCTAGATATTTTATTATTTTAGATGCTATGTAAGTGGAATTGTTTTCTTACTTGCCTTTTTGGATTGCTCATTGCTAGTTTATAGAAACACAACTGATTTTTGTGTGCTGATGTTATAGCCTTGTATTATAACCATATGTACTTTAAGCCCTGGTGGCTCAGGGGTTAAGAGCTCGGCTGCTAACCAAAAGGTTGGCAGTTCAAATCCACCAGCCATTCCTTGGAAACCCTATGGGGCATTTCTATGCTATCTTAAAAGGTCACTGTGAGTCAGAATCGACTTGACACCAGTGAGGTTTTTTTTTTTTTTTTTTTTTATTATAACCTATAAATTTGCTAAATTTGTTTAAAGCTCTAACAGCTTTCTTATGAATTATTTGGAGTTTTCTATGTATGTTATTGTTCAATAGAGATAAGTTTATTTCTTTCATTCCAATTTAGATGACTTTTATATAGTTTCCTTGCTTAACTGCTCTGGCTAGAATATTCAGTCCAATGTTGAATGCCAGTGGTAAAAGTGGACATCCTTGTTTTGTTCCTCATCTTATACAGAAAACATTCAGATGTTAGCTGTGGATTTTTCATAAATGCTTTTAACATGTTGAGAAATTTTTCTTCTATTCCAGTCTTCTGAGTGCTGTAATAATGAAAGGATGTTGGATTTTGTCAAATGCATTTTCTGCATCAATTGTCATAATATGCTGCTTATCTTTGTTCTAGTAATGATTTTGGTATGTTAAAACACCCTTGCATTCCTAGGATAAAACCAGTTTGGTCATGGTGTACACTTCTTTTTATATAGTGTTGGATTTGGTTTGCTAGTATTTTGTTGAGAATTTATTCAACTATATTTTTAAGTGATACTGGTCTGTAATTTTCTACTCTTGTGGTGTCTTTATATGGCTTTTGGTTTCAGGGTAACCTCAGCCTCGTAGAATGCGTTAGGAAGTGTTTCCTACTCTGGAACAGTTTCAGAACGATTGGTTTTGATTCTTTTTTAAATGTTTAGTAGATTTCACCAATGAAGTCATCTGGTCCTGGACTTTTCTTTGTTGGGAGGATTTTGGTTACTGATTCAATCTCTTTGCTTATCCCAGGTCTGTTGAGATTTTCTATTTCTTCTTGAGTCATTTTGAGTAATTTCTGTGTTTCTAGGAATTTGTTCATTTCATGAAGACTATCTCATTTGTTGCTATACAATTGTCTTAGAATTCTCTTAAAATCTTTTTTATTTCTTGTACTACTAGTAATGTCCCCACTTTCATTTCTTTTTTGTTGTAGTTATTTCTTTTTTTGTTGTTTATTAATTTTTTTGTTGTTGTACTTTACATGAAGGTTTACAGAACAGTTTCTCATTAAACAATTAGTACACTTATTGTTTTATGACAATGATTAACAACCCCATGACATGTCAACACTGTCCTTCTCAACCTTGGGTTCCCTATTACCAGCTTTCCTGTACCCTCCTGCCTTCTAGTCCTTGTCCCTGGACTGTTGTGCCCCATTAGTCTTGTTTTGTTTTATGGGGCTCTCTAATCTTTGGCTGAAGGGTGAACCTCGGGAGTGACTTCACTACTGAGCTAAACGGTGTCCGGGGGCCCTACTCTTGGGGTTTCTCCAGTCTCTGTCAGGCCAGTAAGTGTGGGTTTTTTTGTGAGTTAGAATTTTGTTCTACATTTTTATCCATCTCTGTCCAGGACCTTCTGTTGTGATCCTGGTCAGAGCAGTCAGTGGTGGTAGCTGGGCACTATCTAGTTGTACTGGACTCAGTCTGGTGGAGGCTGTGGTAGTTGTGATCCATTAGTCCTTTGGAGTAATCTTTCCCTTGTATCTTGTTTTCTTCACCGTCTCTTGTTCCCAAAGAGGTGAGACTAGTGGAGTGTCTTAGGTGGCTGCTCACAGGCTTTTAAGACCCCAGACGCTACTCACCACGGTAGAATGTAGAACATTTTCTTTCTAAACTGTGTTATGCCAATTGAGCTAGATGTTCCCCGAGACCATGGTCCCCACAGCCCTCTGCCCAGGAATTCAGTCCCTCAGGGAGTTTGGATGTGTCTATCAAGCTTCCATGACATTTCCTTATACAAGTTGTGCAGACTTCCGCAGTATTGTGTACTGTCTTACCCTTCACCAAAGTTACCACTTATCTATTATCTATTTAGGTTCCCCCCACACACCTCCCATCTCTTAAACAATAAAGATTGTTTCTTTCTGTGTGTAAACCTTTTCATGACTTTTTACATTAGAGGTTTCATACAATGTTTGTCTTTTTGTGATTGACTATTTCATTCAGCATAATGCCCTCCAGTTTCATCCATATTATGAGATGCTTCACAGATTCATCATTGTGTGTATGTACCATAGTTTGTTTATCCATTCATCTGTTGATGGGCATCTAGGTTGTTTCCATCTTTTAGCTATTGTGAACAATGCTGCAATGAACACGGATGTGCATATGTCTATTCGTGTGATGACTCTTAATTCTTTAGGATATATTCCTAGGAGTAGGATTGCTGGATCATAGGTATTTCTATTTCTAGCTTTCTAAGGAAGCGCCACATCATTTTCCAAAATGGTTATATCATTTTGCATTACCACCAACAGTGCATAAAAAAGTTCCAATCTCCCCACAGCCTCTCCAACGTTTGTTATTTCCAGTTTATTTGATTCTTGCCAGTAATGCCAGGGTGAGATGGTATCTCATTGTGGTTTTAATTTGCATTTCTCTAATGGCTAGTGATCGCGAGCATTTCCTCATGTGAAGTGTCTTGAATGTCTCTTTAGTAAAGTGTATGTTCATTTCCTTTGCCCATTTTTTAATTGGATTATTTGTCTTTTTTGTAGAGGTGTTAGATTTTCTTGTAGATTTTAGAGATTAGACCTTTGTCTGACTTGTAATGCCCAAAATTTTTTTCCCAGTCTGTAGGTTCTCTTTTCACTCTTTTGGTGAAGTCTTTTGATGAGCGTAAGGGTTTAATTTTTAGAAGATCCCAGTTATCTAGCTTATCTTCTGGAGTTTGTGTGTTGTTGGTTAGGTTTGTATCCTGTTAATGCCGTGTATTAGGGACTCTAGCGTTGATCCTAATTTGTCTTCAATGAACTTTATAGTTTTTGGCTTTATGTTTAGGTCTTTGATCCATTTTGAATCAGTTTTTGTGTATGGTGGGAGGGATGGGTCCTTTTTCATTCTTTTGCAGATGGTCATCCAGTTTTACAAGCACCATTTGTTGAAAAGACTGTCATTTGATGGACTTTGAGACCTTGTCAAAGATCAGGTGACCACGGGTGGCTGGATTTACATCTGGGTTCTTAATTCTGTTCCATTGGTCAACGTATCTGTTGCTGTACCAATATGAGGCTGTTTTGACTGCCATAGCTGTATAGTAGGTTCCGAGGTCAGGTAGTGCGAGTCCTCCTACTTTATTCCTCTTCAGATAGTGCTTTACTTATCTGAGGCTTCTTCCCTTTCCATACAAAGTTAATGATTAGTTTTTCCATCTCTTTAAAGAATGTTGGTTGGTATTTGGATGGGGATTGCATTGTATTTGTAAATTGCTTTAAGTAGAATTTTCATTTTCACAATTTTGAGTCTACCTATCCATGAGCATGGTATGTTTTTCCATTTATGTAGTTCCCTTTGGGTTTCTTGCAGTAGTGTCTTGTAGTTTTCTTTGTATAGGTCTTTTACATCCCTGGTTAGATTTACTCCTAAGTATTTTATATTTTTAGGGGCTATTATAAATGGTATTGTTTTCCTGATTTCCTTTTCATTGTTCTCTTTATTGGAGCATAGGAATCCAACTAATTTTTGTATGTTTATCTTGTATCCTGCTACTCTGCTGAATCTTTCCATTACTTCCAGTAGTTTTCTCATGGAGTCTTTAGGGTGTTCTATGTATAGTACCATA